TCTCACACACACGCACAGCTCTCTCTCTCTCACACACATGCACAGCTCTCTCTATTTCTCTCACACACACGCACATACACACACACCACCATACTCTAGCTCTAGCTCTCTCTCTCTCTCACGCATACACACACAAATACACATTCTCTCTCTCTCTCTCTGTCTCACGCATACACACACATACACATTCCCTCTCTCTCTCACACACACACACACACACACAACACACACACACAGTGAAGACACAGCCACTTGAAGGTCTTTCATCTGTAAACACACGCCGCCGCCCATTGCTGCTGCCGCTGCACACTGACACATAAAATATATACACTATAGTATTATATTTATTAGTATATTTTATATATATTAGTATATAAACATAAATATATATTTATGTGTCAGTGTGCAGCGCAGCAGCAATGGCGGCCGGCGTGTGTTTACAGTATGAAACGCTTCAAGTGCCTGTGGGTTGAGATGGATGTCGGACGCGTAGCCTAGTGGCTCCCCGTCCGCGAACCGGTCGCGTAGCCACGCGCTAATTTTATAACATTTGAAACATTGCAAAGTGCCTGTGACAGTGTCATGTTCAGTGATCACTCCAATATCCATAAGCCTCATGGACCTAGCCCGACGAGGCTGTGCGACTGATTGTCTATACAACTTCTAACCCTAGCAAAACCGTTTCTTGCGGAGCTAGCCTAGGACCATGCCCATTGTAGGGCCTACTGAGTCACTGAGTCAGTGAGACTCGCAGCTAGGGCCTGCATTACCTCCCAACTCTCATGGTTGATACAAATATAGTTAATTTTAAATTAAATTCTTAAGTAGTTGTTAGGGTTAGGATTAGGTTAGGGTTAAGGGTTAGGAGTTAGGATTAGGGTTAGGATAGGCGTTAGGGTTAGGGTAAGGGTTCAGGCGTTAGAGGTCACAATGCCACGCATAAAAGGAATTATTAAAAGGGAGTTTAGGCACGTGATTTGCTATCAACGCAATGAGAGTATGGAGGTATGCAGGCCCTAGCTGCGAGTGTCAGTAGAGTGTTTTTGTCACAAATAATCGGCACCGCATATAATTGTGTCATTTGTGCCTGAAAAACAGCCGCAGCAGCCGGCACTTGAAAAGAAGTAATACTCTGCTGAAAAGTTTTAAATTAGCCTACCTGTAAGTATTCACCCATCTCCCTATACCGGCAGTTTTTAGCAATGAATAGACTCAAGAAAATTTAAAAGAATATGGCGGAGTAACACAGTACTTGGTTTCGTGCTCTGTTTGTTTTACCTATTGAGGTTCCGCTTCCGGTCCTGTTTGGATGGCTTCCGCTGACGTCATTTTCGCGCGCATTCATAATTAGTCTGCGCAATGCGCGAACTTTTGGCACGAACTTTTCGAGGTTACGGTCATTTCGTGAAAAACATTTCGTATTTCGGAACCACAGCAGTACAATACGCATGCATCTGTGTTAGGCTAGATACAAATATCTCGACAATGGCTCTAAATATCTTCCGGAAATTCCTCACAAAAAATCTCGTAAATATCTCAATTTTTTTCTAAATATACACAAAATTTTTCTAATATCTCAGTTCATTTCAAACGTAAGTCTTTTAACATATTTTGATTTTGGTGCGAAAAAAATTTTGCAAGATTTTAAAACAGTTTGCACCGCTGCGATGGTTTTTCTAGAAAAGGAACAAACTTGCATCCTTAAAAATCCTAATATCTGAGAAAATGTGTGTTTTCATTCTGAAATTCTAGGAATTTTCTAAATATCCCGAAAACTTCTAATATCTAAAAAAAATCTAGATATTTTATCTAAGCCTAATCTTGTGTCGATTGTGTAATGCTACAGTACGTGGCGTTACGTGCTACCACTGTATACAGAATAAATGTAGCGGCGCCCTGGGGGTAAGATTCATTTCAAGCTGCGATACGCAAAATATTTTGCGTAAATCTTGCTGTACGCAATCGACGGTTGGCTTAGTTGGCGATTCATCAAACACAGCCTATTTAAGTAATATTTCGCGTACGATTTCGCGTAGCGCAAGCGAGGCCGTTTTTAGGTGGATTCATACAAGCTAAAATTTACGGTAAAGCCTTTGCGCTAACTCTACACGCAGCTGACGAGGTGCCGTAAAAAACCACTCGAAATTTTCCGCAGGTGTTTTCCAGCCATATCGGCAGGCAAATGCATATTTTATTGAGAAAACCATTATTAAAATACTACTCAATCTAAAAATAATAATAATTACCATACTACACAGACAGGCGGGCCTCTTTGACGCTTCTTGTGTCATAGGCTTGGGCATTGTTTCGTTATAATGGCGAGTTCGTAGTTAGCCGTGTACGTTGTACACTGATACGCACGTTGTTACGTGCCACACCGCACGCACTTGTACTGTGCACACGCACGCACGTGTACGTGCACACGCACGCACGCACACGTGCCACAAGCACGCACGCATGCCCACTGTTACGTGCACACGCCAGACGCCACGCCCGCGATGTACGTACACCGCACGCACGCACGTGTTACGTGCCACCGCACGCACGCACACGTGCACAAGCACGCACGCCGCACGTGTACGTAGCCACACGCACGCACGCCCGTGTACGTACACACGCACGCACGCACGTACGCTGTACGTGCACACACACACACGCACGTGCACATGCACGCACCGCACGCCCGCACGCGCGCCCATGTACGCTACACACGCACGGCACGCACGTGTACGTGCACACGCACGCACGCACGCACGTATACGTGCACACACGCGCACGTGCACATGCACGCACGCACATCACGTGTGACGTGCACACGCACACACGTGTACGGTGCACACGCACGCACGCCCGTGTACGTAGCACGCACGGCACGCACGTGTTACGTTGCACGCCAACACGCTGCCACAAGCACGCACGCACGCACGCCCACGCACGATGTACGTGCACCGCACGCACACGCCCCGTGTACGTACACACGCACGCACGCAAGTACGTGTCGTGCACACACACCGCACGCACTGCACATGCACGCACGCACGCACGCACGCGCGCCCATGTACGTACACACTGCACGCACGCCACGTGGTACTGTGCCCACACGCACGCCACGCACGCACGTATACGTGCACACACGGCACGTGCCACATTGCACGGCACGCACACACGTGTACGTGCACACGCACGCACGCACATGTATGTACACACGCACGCACGCACGTGCTACGTGACACGCACGCACACACGCCACGCACGCACGTGTTACGTACACACGCACGCCACGCACGCACGTGTACCGTGTACACGCAAAAAGCACGCACGCCACGTGTACGGTGCCACACGTACGCCACGGCCGGTGACGCTACACACGCACGCACGCACGTGTACGCTAACACACGCACGCACCGCACGTGTACGCTGCCACACGCACGTACGTGTACGTGCCACACACCCACGCACGGCACTGTGCACATGCCACGCACGCACGCCGTGTACGTGCACAACGCCACGCACGCGCGCCCGTGTAACGGTGCAAAACGACGCAACGTGTACGTGCACACGCACGCACGCACTGCTGTACGTGCACACACATGCACGCACACGTGTACGTGCACACGCACGCACGCACGTGTGTACGTGCACACGCACGCACGCACGTGTACGTTACACGCACGCACACACGCACTGCCACGCACGCACGGTACGTAAGCACACGCACGCACGGCACGTGGTACGTACACACGCACGCGCACGCACGTGTACGTACACACGCACGCACGCCTGTGTACGTACACACGCACTCACGCACGTGTACCTGCACACACACACACGCACACGTGCACATGCACGCACGCAAACGCACCACGTGTACGTGCACACGCACACACGCACGCACGTGTACGTACACACCGCACGCACGCACGTTGTACGTGGTGTGCTTTCAATGAGCTGTTGAACGCCAATCATACAACGAAAATGAGAACACTATCACATCCCCCAGCACTTCAGTGTCCATGTAGACAGACGAGACGACTAGACGAGCCATATGGTTTAAATACAAGAGAGGCGTCTGTTCGGTTCCTATGGTATGTGTCGCACAGTGTGATTGGTTTATGCTAGGCACACCCCTCCACAGCCAGCAGCTAGGACGGCGTAGTGGGTTTACACTGGAATTCATCAACATTTGCGTACGCAGGTGCTACGCTGCGTTGATGAATCGCACCTACGAGCTTTGCGTACGTACTTCGTAGAAACTCCGTGTACGCAATAGACTTTACGCAACGTTGATGAATCCGGCCCCTGTACCGTAGTATTTGGACGCTCGCCCGAAACTGGATGCTCCTAAGTGCGCAGGCGCCTCTTGTTTTGCAAGGGCGCACACAGCGCATGCGCAGCATGCGCAGTAGTCATCTGCGCATCTTGCCTATCGAAATGGTCGCAATAAACAAACATGGCGGACTTCCCGGTCACTGATGGAAACATTTGATTGAAACAATTTGCAATATGTAGTAAATTAGTAAGACTGTGTTATGTGTGTCAGGTTACAAGGCGAAAAAAAAAGAAAAAAAAGAGCATAGCTACTATTTCCTACGACCGTGCAAAACAAGATTCAAACAAAAAGAAAACAAGAGCAAAACAAAAGAGCATGCCTACGGAGCGTCCAAATACTACGGTACAGGCCTACTGAACCGAGAGCGCACGCCACACTCGAGATTTCACCAATTTTTGTCACAAATGAGTCGACCCCGTGACCTGTGATGTCACACAAACCCGTGGTTCTACGAACTCGCTTATTTTTCGCGGTTTGAGTCACAGCATAGATATCTACAAACACATGATCCTTACATAGGATCATGCATTGACATTTTTTAGGGTTGGCTTGCATGCCGTTTTCTTTGAACCACTTTGTCATGGTGTATGTGTTAGTTCTGTAATGAGTGTGTCCAAGTTATTGTTGTGTGCGCAAAGCGTGTTAAACGGTGTTGTTGTTCAACGCATGCATTACCATGAAATGTCGTTTATAAAGATGTTAACTAGAGTAGCTACCAGGACTGATTCTTGCAGTACCGGTACCCCTTTGATTGGCGTTCTCCAGGTGCTGAGGGTACTTCCAACTTTAGCTTGCTGGTAACGGCTCTTGGCTTTCGAGATGGGAGTCATTGGATGGTTTGCCTAGACCATACGCATGTATTTTTGCTAGAAGCAGGTCGTGGGGAATGCTGTCAAATGCCTTCGATAGCTTCATTAGAACGGCCCCTGTGTACTGCCTCTGATCAAAAGCCCTGCGCCATCTTTCACATAGCCCCATCAGCACGGTCTGGCAACTGTGTTGGCAGCGATATAGCTCTAAAACTATAAGCCCTTCACTCCGCCACAGGCCTGGCGAGAAAATGAGGAGAGATGGTAACGTGTGAAGCATGAAGGGGTAGGAGTGGTAGATGAGGCATGTACATGAGTAGATCTTATACAGTATACTATAGCCCCTGTTCGCAACAGGTGACGCAGGTTCATTTGTGGCGACCAATGGCTACAGTTATAGAGCTAGTACAAGAGTAAACTACCCTGTTGCATATTCTCAATTTCTCATCTACCACAACCTCCATTTATTTTCCCTCTATATCATTCCCCTTACTTAATTAGCATCCAGATGACCCCTTAAGAGGCACAAACAGGGAAGGATTATTAAGAGAACAATTAAAAGCGAAAGAATTAGTAGGAAAAAGGAACGAAACCACATGAGGGAGGGGATGGTGAAAACCATGGAAGAAGGAACATGTATAAGACAAATATGGAATAAGGACAAGGAGAATAAAGAGAAATTAAATCCTTCCCGCACCTTCATACGCATAGGCATAGCGCATGGTTACATGGCGCATAGGGCGGTGCCTATCTCCGTTTCAGTAACCCTGAAGCACCGCAGCTGCTTTCACAGTAAATGCTACAGTAGGGGGTTAGTCCACTGGTAGCACTGCGAGTTAACTTGCCACACTCTATCTCTATTTGCTGAATGCTAAGCAGAGAAGCCGTGTGTACCATTTTTCAAGTCTTTGGTATGACCCGGCCGGGAGTTGAACACCCAACCTTCCAAATACGAGGCGAGCACTCAACCATTGGAATAAAGAGAAGGTATAGCTCTTATTAAGTGCAGCACTTCAGTTATTTTACTGAAAGTAAATGAACAAAAGTTCATTGTCCCACTCTGAAGAAAAAAGTCATAAACGTTATCTGTCATGTATCAGTAGAGCGTATATTCATTCTCTTATCAAGAGTACACAAGTACACAGCTCATAGTATTACAAAATGAGGAATGCCATCGCTAAAAAAACTCTGTACATTTATGACAAATGCTATGCATGGAAAACTCAACATTACGTGATAACTTAATGAAATAGGAAATAGTTTTTTAATTACAAAAAACTAAAATTAAGTGCTGTCAGGCAATTTTATTCATAAACAAAGCAGAGCAAAATAAATGGGTGGTGTAATACTAATAATATCAGCGTCATTATCAAAAGATAATTTAATAATTTGATTTAAGATGATCAGAAGAATTTTTCGTGGCTTAGAACAGTTATGTAACGGCAAATTCAGCAATCACCTGTTACATTAGAAACTTCTCAGGGTGCTAGCAATAATAGTGCTTTTACAAGAGCTTATTACCTGTTATTACTGTGGTTCTTTTTACCTGCTGCCATCTGGTGGCAAGGTTTAAGCAACTTCAATCTGACTGACAGACATAGATCGGATGTGCAAATTGTTGCTAACCAATTAAACAAACGGAATTATCATGAAATAAAGTTGCTCTCGTATCAATTAAACTATTCATCAAAGCCAAGGAGACATGATAAACATAACCAGGGACTAATTTTACTATACCATTTTCCATTGAGCAAAACCTTGAGAATGGTGTTACTATAATCACGGCCATATGGCCACCTAATCTGTAAGAACACTTTCCTAGAGCTGGATACTGGATGGAGATTCGAGGTTGGATCCACTCACCATGCAATCTCTATATGTTGTAACTTCTACATATGATGCTAGTCCAAAGCCTACAAAGAGCATAACATCAGTTTACCACGAAAGTGTACTTTCACATTGAGATGCACCTATGCTGAAAGGAATGATGCAATCATTTCTACAACTGCACACCTCAGTTTACACCATACATACATAGCAGGTTATTAAAAATGTTACGTCTAATAATAGTCTCATCAACTTTTGCAACGCATCCCACATATTCCTATTAAAAATGGGTTAGATATACTTCAGTAGTGCAATTTCTATGGTAATCCTAGTCGTAAGTAATCATCTTGGCGAATGCATGGCAGCAGTTACCTGCTTGACAAACTGTGGCAGAATGAAAGATGCACGATGCACGTCGTGATTGTAATAGTTCAAATCCATGTGCTTCACTTCTTCCTCGCTCAGCTTCCTCACAGGATCTCTAAAGCTGATATCCTGCCAAACAATAAACAATTCTTAAGAATGCTTGGTCGACCAAAGCATGACAAAACTGTATACATGCCCTTTTCCGACAATTTTCAACAATTTTGCACTCGCTCACTTTGTAACAAAAAACTCTGCAGAACTAAGCAAAATTTGAATGTTCATCATGCCTAATATAAATGCAATTTATATAAATGATCATGAGCTATCTTTCTGCTCAGAAATCATGAACCAAGTTGGTGGTGCCACCTACTGGACTTTTGCTGCAGAGAACTGCACCGATCTGACCGCAAGGGTAAGTTGGGATGGACATAGTTGCATATTCAACTACTGGGAATAATTCCTTGCAGAACGTTCTCATGTTCTTTATCAATTTAAGGTCAATCCAAAAACACTCTCCTGCAGAAAAACAAAATTGTATTACTGCATCAAACAATCATACCATCCCAATTGCAACAGTCACAACTGTGAGTGCAGTTAATTTTATAAGAGCAACTTACTTGGTTTATTCAAACCAATGCACAGACAACATGCTGGATCACGTACATTGCAACTAATATATCAACACGGTTTCATCTACAGGTGACTTACCTTGCGAGCAGAGCACACCGTTGTCTTTCAAGGCACCCTTCATCAAGCTGTAGTACTGCTTCTGAAACAAGCTTTCTGCAGGACCTAGCAATAAATAATCGATAGCCTCAATTATTTATTAAAACCTTTTTTTTGAATTGTGCTATAAGTTTTTATCGAATTTCACCCACTCAATTGCACATGAATTGACAGGTTTAGTGTATTCTACTTACTGCCATTCTGTTTATTTTTCAGTATAATTCTCAAGCATACCACATGTTGCAATAAGAAACTACTAACTGGTCGATAAAAGTCTATTTTTAATGCATCACTAAGCACACACTTGAATTGCCATTTACTATCACCCAGTCTGCATGCCCACACATACTGAATGAGCAGACACGAAACAAGAGCCGCAGAGCGACTGGGCTCATCTGAGGTCTGTTGCTACGGTTATAAACTCGAAATTTCAGTCATGCGAGTGACACCTTTGTTAGGCGCAGATATGCAGATACGCAGTTGCATACACATCATTTCAGCAAACATTTTTTTTATTGCAGAGAGAGAGGAAGAGAGAGAGCTAAAGAGAGAGAGAGAGCAGGCGAGAGGAGAGAGAGAGAAAGATTCAGTCAGACTAAATTGTTTATAAACAAATAACACCCACGCGGCGCGCTACTCTATCAGTTACGTCATCGATTGAAATGTACATTCCGATTTCGCCGCGCGACGTCCAAACTTTCGAAGAAGATGGCGGGCAGAGGTAAGGCAGACGCACGTATAACGTACAGATTTCTTCAATGTCGGGGAGGATCAACACATTTCGACTGACAGTCAACCATCGGGCTCTGCAGCGTTCACAAGCCAGCATGCTCCACCATATCCCAACATTGCACACTACTGTAACGTCGACATAGAGAGCCATGCCAAGGACAGTACAAAACTGGCAAATTTTCATTGGTAGGTTTGATGATTCATTTCTGCAATAACTTATCTCAAGATTGGTTAAACTGAAGTTAGGAAAACAATTCTTTCTGCACTTTTGAGCGCAATATACATTTGACCTATCCTGCCGGGACATTCTTCTCACTCTGTTCCGATAGATGGCGTGCATACTGACTAGGTGCAGGAAATAGATAATCCGAACTGATTGCTACCTTCGTTTAGCCCATGCTGTGATACTATCAGCCACCCACCTGCGAGGTAGGCCTATTTATAGTTGGCCTTAATCAAAAACAGACGTTTGCGTAAGTGCTATTAACATTGTATTCCCAACGTACAGAATCTCATATAGAGAATGAAGTTCATATATGATTTAAGGCGCATAAACGTTGTTCAAGTAAGTTTTGCATGCAGAATTTCACTGTGAAATTTAAGTCTTCCACGATCACACACGTACCATCAAACACAGTTCAGTCCTTTGTTAACAGTCAACAAATCCATGTTTAACCCTCCTCTTGAGGGTCAAAAGGTTAGCAGACACTTAGTCTTCGCACATCAGTGGAAAGCACAATTCATGGTCCTTTCAATAAAGTGATAAAAATGGTAGGTCAGCGCTGAAACAAAAAAGTTTTTCACTCTGTCCATTAGGCCATGTCCTCAGAAAATGTCTGATATCTGACCTTTCCCCCACTGCCCTTTGACCTGTGACCTCCAATTTGACCTGTGATTTCACACTGGTGATGGGTTTCCTGCCCATCACACTATACACCGAATATTAAGAACATAGGTCAAGCCGTTCTGATTTGTACCGCAATTACGTATTTCCTCCTATACCTTAAGTTAAGGGGGAAATATTCCCCCTCCGTTGACACATCTTGACCTTTGACCCTTGACCCCCAAATTGGTCATCCCGAGTCCTTTTTACGATCCCAGTAAGTAAGTAAGTAAAAACTTTATTTAACGACGGTAAAACATGTTAGGTACAGACACAATAAATTGGCGCGGACCTATCTTCCACATGGCCGTCTCACAGCAACAGAACGGTTAAATATTAAATAAATACACAATATGTTGAAATACTTTAATACACAATATGTTGAAATACTTTGACTAAAATTGTACGGGGTAAGTAGAGCACAATGGGCCCTATTGATAGGGCAAGATTTTCTTTAGACGGACTTTAAAAGAAGAAATAGAGGGGGCATCTCGAACGTCAGGAGGTAAATTATTCCATTCAGATGCCGCCGCGCACCGAAAAGATTTTCGTAGCATTTCAGTGCGTGCACGGGGCGGATACAAACGCGCTTCATCTGCACACACACTACGCGTCCGTCTAGAGCTCACTTCATGTTTAAAAGTAAAAAAACCGTCAAGATAGGCAGGTGCCTGCTTACGTAAAATTTTGTAAGTTAAAAGAGATCGATGGTAATAAAAACGTTGGCGAACAGGCATAAAACCTAGCTGCGAAAAGATTTCTTTAGTGCTTTAGTCTGAAGGTCTACGAATGTTAAGAATTAACCGCGCAAAACGTTTCTGCAGGTTAAAAACTTTGTCAATATAACTCTTCGCGGCATTTCCCCACACAACAATACCATCATCAATATCAGGTAAAACAAAGCCAAAGTAAAACTTCAGGCAGGAATCATGATCGAGAAATTTCCTGATCCGCCAAAACAGTGCCAGCTTTTTTGAGATCTTGGCACACACATTCATTATGTGTTCTTCAAACGTAAGATTATCATCAACATGGATACCTAAAATTTTCTCACTAGATCCCCCCCCCCCCAACGTCCCGAATATCGTGACCGTACGTCGAGCGGTTAAGATTTGTGCCCAACTGTTGACGGACGGACGGACGGACACACGGATGCACGGACGGACGCTAATGCGATTCTACAAGCTGCATCCGACTTCGTCAGATGAGCTAAAAACATTGACTTGCATTACCAACAGGATCTGAAGAATCAGTGATGATGACATCAAACTCCCCCTGGTGCTTTTTCATGAACTCAAACCCATCACCGATGTGTAGATTTAACTTGGGGCTCTCAAACCCTTTTGCCATTTGGGGAAGAAACTGCTTAGCAACATTAACCACCATCTGAAATATGACGGAAAATGAACAGTGCAAGAACCAGATACAGTTGTCTACACTACTGTTGATTTTATCAAAAGCTTTTATACACAATCAATTACACAAAGCAGAGCTCAATTTTAACAGTCGTCCGGTCGTCCGTGACGACTGGATTTTCTCTCGGGCAACTACAAATTGTTTCCGTGGTTGTCCGGTGTCCAACCTCTAAATTAATTGTGAACATTTTTTTTTTTAATTTGTTAATTTTCAATTTTTGCTCATCTGTGACTTGACACAGTGTTAATGTAAATGTTATGAAATAAATTTCATGCAACTTTCAATTACTATTATTATACGTCATTGATCCCAGCATCATTTACCACATTACCAATATTTTATTCTCTTCATATAATGAGTGAAACAATGCGAATGGCCATGTCTGCTGTCACTGCAATACGTACAAAATGTACATGATTAGGCCTTTTGCTTTACAGCACTGAGCATCACGTGAGCAGAGCGCATGCAGCACATGTATAAATAACATCCGGACAACCAAAACTCTTGAGGGACAACCATATGCTACTCTCTTAGTTGTCCTCCGGACAACCCAAAAAAAACCTTAAAATTGAGCACTGCAAAGGAAGTTATTACACAAAGGATTTTCTATCTACAGAAAGAGGTAAAGAACAGATACAAAAGCAGGCATAGATTTCAGAGCAAAAATTGCCTCACCTCATCAATTTCACATATCGTGACTGTCTCAACAGCTGCAAGTTTCACAACCTCCCTTGCAACGCCCCCATCGCCACCTCCAATGATGAGAACCTGTGTATAAATATCAGCTTATATCACCACCCATCGTATGTGTAGGTATATCTAACCTCAAAATAATCAGACGTAAATAATCAGAGACCTTTATTTTGCTGTTTAATATACACACAAATGTGATATTACAACACTACAAGAAATGAAACATAAAATGTCCCTTAACAAATACTGCAAGTTCACAGAAAGACAATTGGACAGACACATACACACGCACTCACGCACGCACGCACGCACGCACGCACGCACGCACGCACGCACGCATGCACACACGCACGCATGTAACCTAGGAAAGCAAACCAATTTAAAAAAAGAGCAATTTATTGCTAAATAAAGTATGTAATGGAACCTACCTGTTTTGGGTTTGGATGGGAACAGAGAGGCAAATGTGCAAGCATCTCTTGATAAGAGAACTCATCTCTTTGTGTGCACTGTATGACACCATCTAACACCAAAACTACTCCATATGTTACACTATAAAAGCAAAACCATAATATTATGTGTAAACTGTATGTATACATAAACTTGTCACTTTTTTATTCAACATTCATGCCTCATTAAACATCCCCATCTTATTTAACCACATGTAGGTTCTCCTTTTAATTAAAAAATAAAAATTAATCTTAACAATGATCACAAGTAATTTATGTTGAGATCATATATATGTATTTTCCTTGCTGTAATTTTACTTTTAAAACTCCAATAACAAACCTTTTGAAAACCAATACATCTTGATATTGTGATCTTTTATGAAATAGAAGTTTCTCAACTTGTAGAGACATGGACTGACCAGGCCATAAGCTATTAACTTCAGAAAACCATCCATTTGTTATTAAATCCACCTGCAAAATGAAGATACCTGTATTATACAATTATTTATAGTAAGCAGGAGCGTAGCTAACCCATTTTGCCTGGGGGGGAAAGCCACGTGCATGGCGTGTTCTAGGAAGGTGATCGCTATTAACCATGTAATGTATATACATTTCTCTGGGGGCAACTACCCCCCCCCCCCCCCCGCCAGCTACAGCCCTGGTATCTTAAGTTCAGGACTAAAGACTGAGAATACCGATGCATATTATATAGACCCTAGCTGATACCATCATTGCCTGAAAATGAACCCCTCTACACAATAGTATTTTTTTTAAATGAGCCGAGTGCCTGTGTATAAATTTTGTATATAGATGTCCGGTAGTGTGCTCTAGCTACCACAGCCTCAGGCACTTGACTTGGAATGTTTCAATAGTAAAATGATTGATGGTAAATAAACACGAAATGTATTTAGTATTTACTACCAAAATCTTAATGTTTCTCTACTCTCTTTGGCTTATTATTGTCGATAATTTTCTGTAAATGCCGGTCAAATGCTCCTCTGCAACACACACGTACACCGCTGTGCATAAACAATAAAAACAAAGGGCGCGTTTGTTTGGTCGGATCCACGGATCTCGATCCAATGGATTCGTTGATCTGACTGTTTGTTTGCTCAGATCACTTGATCTCGATCCACCTAACCCGACCCTGCTAGCGAGGTGGATTCGAACGGTATCCAATATGGCGGCCCGCGCCTCAGCCAGTCACAGCTTGTTCTTTGTTATGAATCATCCCGTGATAGGTCACAGCGAAACGTGAACCGGTGAAACTAAATTTGCGTTTGTTTGGTCGAATCAGAATCACATGATCGCGATCCGACGGATTGATCATTCGTCCCAAACAAATTAAACGTGCCCAAAGTTATTTTATATTGTTGTTCATGCACTTATTGTATTCTTTATTTTCATTGTTTGTGCACAGCGCCGGCGGCGTACATGTGAGTTGTGTCGTGTGTGGAGCATTAACAAAACAGCATTTACAGAAAATTATCGGCAATAAGGCCGATGAAAGTTGATTTCATGGTTCTCGTCAGGCATTGTTGAGATTTTGATGAGGGATTTAGATCAACATTCATCTTTCATATACAAACCAATAGAACTTAGTGAGGGTATCAGGTCTTGTAAAATAAGATTGAAAAATGTCATAACTTCTTTGTTGACAGTTTTTACTCAAATTTTTACTGTTTGTCTTCCATACATGTAGTGCTGACTGTAGATTGTTGATTTTTTGAGGCAGGAATTTCATATGGGGACTTTTTGATGCGGGAATTTCGTCAGCGATGAGTGTTGAACTTTTTTGGTGCGGGAGTAAAATTTGATGCGGGTGCTGACGAGAACCATGACATCAACTTTCATTGGCCTAATAGTAATACTCGAGAAAGTTGACACTGACAGAAAGAGAGTAGAGAAACATTCATACTTTGGTAGTAAATACACTTCGTGCTTATTTACCATCATTCTACTAGTACTACTGACACTTTCCAAGGGCCTGTGCTGTGTGTGCTGTGTGTGCTGTAGACTGTAGTGTAGGCCCCTACTGAGTACTGTACTGTACTGTACTGTACTGTACTGTACTGTACTGTACTGTAGTGTTACTGTCTAGACTCACTCACCATGGATTGTGCCCCAGCACAGGGCTGAGGTAATCGGCGTATACCGTGGAATTTTCGTTTTAGAAGCAATCCTATGCATACTCCACATCCGAGCCCAGCAACTACCCCTAAATATTTAAGCTCAACTGTTAAAGACATAATCGAAGTGAATGAATGAAATGAATGTTAGCTAAGACCAGAGAGTAGCGTGGTACCGTCGATGACATTGATTATAGACTGGTCCCAGGTCTTTTAACTTTATTTCATAACTAACAAAGTGAAGTAATATGGAGTCTATCTAAGCGGCAAGAAACGTGTATTCGTGCGCTTTCACCCCGGAAGTGGTGAGTACCACCGGACAGACGTCACATAATATGTCAGCGCCTAATGGCAATACATCATGTCTGATATCAACAAGCAACTATTAGATTATTTATCTCAAAATAAGAGCCATAGTAGTGGTCAAGACGCAGATGGCGAATCATCACATAGCGTCGGAAAGTTTTCATGGTTTACACAGTTGAGGAGACCAGCGATTTCTAGTGAAGCTAACGATAATGCCTGGTTGCAAGAAGCACAGAAAGATCCGCTGTTTCCAACATTGGTAATTTATCAAACTTGAATGTGAACTTGAATAAATTTGACAACCCCAGGTTTAAAAACCCTAACCCTTACCCTAACCCTAACCCTAACCAAACTCACGACATGGGTGTGTAAACGCTACTTTGACCAATGTCACTGTCAGTGTCAGTCATTCAGCATGCGATATTGTATAATTAATGGAACGGGCTACGGTTACCGTTTTCTATTGAGTGACACCCCAAAGCGCAAAAGTATATATAATAAAACGTGCATATAAAACACTAACAGTGAAAAAAAATACACAGGGGCTCGGGGCGATTTAGCCAAAAAAGAGCCCTGGAAATGCCAAAAAGTGCCCCCGTAAATTTGCATAGAGTTCAATGCAAACCAAATTTTAGAGTGCTATTTTTATGCACGTGAGCTTGAAAAGTAGGGCCTAGCTCCCGAAAAATAAATTTTAATTTTTTCCCTGCCTCCGATCGGTCAGAGTAGCGTTTACAGTTTTCATGTAAACGCTATTCATAGCGTGCATAATTTTCATGTAAAAATTAAACGCGTTTCAAATTAAACGCATAATTTTCATGTAAAATTACACCCCCGACCCCGGGAGTGAATTTGTTTTTCTTACACGTTATATTCATTCAATCATTGGGCTTGATGTACGCATATCAACTTCCGCATCAGACTTTCCGTATCAAAGAATGATGCAAAAGTCCTAACCTTAACCCTAACCCTAACCCTAACCATAAACCGAATCGGCTTATATACTGTGTATGGTATCCCAAACACTATCTATGGTGTGGTCAAATCAAAGCAGCCAATCAGAAGAGCCCAATGGATATAACGTGTAGGAAAAAAAAATTCGCCCCCCCCCGGGGCCCATGTCGTGAGTTTGGTTAATGTGGGGGTACAATCTTAAAAATTTACAGAGGTCTTCTTGAAGGTGTTGTCAACTAATTTCTAGCAAGAAAGGGGTCATTTGTTGTCGCAAAGGCGCGAGATTACGTCGTTTCACCCAGCAACTCAGTATATACATATATATATATATATATATATATATGCCGCATATAATATATATACGTATCTACACAGTCGCTCAGTAACACTCCACAGTATATAATGTAGTGGCGCCATCTATCGGAGAAAAAAAGTGGTTTTTAAACTTGGGGGTGTCAAATAGGATTTGGCCCTGCGATCTCATTCCGTCTTATATATATATATATATATATATATATATATATATATATATATATATATTCCCTTGGACTTTGAGGACGAATATTTAGGAGGTTTTTAATTTATTTTTATTTATTTATTTAGGCAATTATCCATCATATACAATACATAGCATACTTTTATAATAAAATTCTGAATTCATAAAATTGGATAATTACCAAGGATATCTACACAAAAGGTATATAAAGGTTATAAACATAACCTTTCATATAAACTTTTTGTATAACTTCACATAACTTTTTATAAACATATAAAGGTATATACATAAAAGGTTATAAAGGTTATTCACTGGGAATCGTGTTCATATATATAGCTCTATTAGGTGAGCTCTTCCTCGCTCCCACTACATGGCTACATGACCAAAACAACACTGCTGGGACACAGCACTGAATCTTTGAAGAATGGCCAGCTATAAGATTTAGCCAACAGTGTAATAGAAAAATACATTGGCCAGCAACATAAACGTCCTGACTTGAGCCAGTCACTTCCGAATCAAACTCAATTCACCATAATTTAATTAGCCAGGTGGAGCCGTTTATCAAATACATATGAACCAAAAACACGTATGTGGCCACGTCTAATTTAAGTAGCAGTGGTACCGGTACAGTGGTATGTTATATATGTGTATAGTTGTATTTTCAGAAGATGTAATGAGATTTTATTTATTTCCAGACAAAGAAACAACGGATTCTTGGTTTCGTGAGTTGCATATTGATGGGTGTCTTTTGCTTTGTCTTGGTAAGTTTAGAATTTACAACCACACTAAAAGTAAAAGAACCAAATTAAGATAATTGCATTATAAATATATGATGTTACAATGACATAAATACACTGTGCATTTGCTAATATAATACTAATATTTTAAAATAGAAATAGTTGGATTTGTGTATGATAAGCTTGCCTTTATTTAGGCATGGATGTTCTTCCCGTTTCTGGTGCTAAAAGCAAGAAAATTTGCCCTCCTGTACACACTAGGCAGTGTCTTCACAATCGGCAGGTAAGCGAGGCTTCACACTTCTAATCCATTGTATTTTTGAATGACAATGCTGAGGATTTATCGTAGTAAGTACCAGTGTTTCTCATTGGATGCTGTATAAAAGTAACCTACATTAGCAAAGCCATGAACTTCACTTTTTGGTAACACAGATTTTGCTAGTACATAAGTTTAAAGGCTTAAAGGTGGCAGGTGATAGGTGGCAGTGATCTTGAACGCATGACAGTCAGCCTGAATGAGAATAGGGATATATACTTGTGAAAACCCTTCAATGTGTGGCAGGTGTGGTGTTTAGCTGAGCTGTATAGCTATTTGTCCCCCTACGTACCAAATATGAAGCGAAGATGAAGCAGTTTAGTTTTGAGCTGTTATTATCGATGCATTGACGATTGAATGATTCTGCATTTCTATAAGCTTCACCCATAGATATTGATGACCAAAAACCCATTTTGACTTCACAAGCTGTCAGGGAGTGTCTCTGCTTTCCAGCTTCGCGATGCTATGGGGACCCGTAAATCACGTGAAGCACATCTTCTCAGCTCAGCGGCTACCATTCACGACAACGTACTTTGGCTCTTTGTTCGGCACACTGTACTTTGCTCTTGTGGTAAGGTTGCAGAGATTTCAGACTCGGGTGTATTGTAGGAGGTTCTACCTGGTTGCCCGTAAAACCCTCCAAAAAATTGCGCTTGATTACGCATCTTTAAGATCACATCATCACGTCTCTTTAAGAGGTGAGAGTTTTTTGTGTTGGTAGCTAGCAGTTTTACAACGTGGCCAATTGGCAAAGAGTGCTAGCGTCTATTTAACGGGTTTATTTCTCCGGGCGATCGCTGCGACACGCGCAGCTAAACGTGTACAGGTACATCTATGCGCCATTTTATCGTTTGCATTTTGTTCGTTTTGACGGACCAGGTGCAGAGCACGCTCCTGACGGCGCTGTGCGCCATATTGCAAGTGGTGGCGCTAGTGTGGTACATGATCAGCTACATTCCCGGTGGCCAGACGGGCCTCAGCTTCTTCTCGAAACTCTTCTACTCCGTTTCGTCGAAGGCCGTGTCGTCTGCTCTACCCGTGTGACGTCTAAACCCGAGCCTGTCCGTCAGGGAGAGTAAAACTTTGGTGCAGGCCTATAGAAACTTCACCTCATTCTCGGCACCGACAGACGAATAGGAGCCGTGCTGTAAATTCACGATTTTTTCACGCCTGAAGATTTGGAATTACATGTATTTATTAATATATGTATAATGATGTATAATAATATAACAAATATGTATAATAATATAACAAATATGTATAATAATATAACAAATATGGAAATAGGGCATCTGCGTTTCAAACGGATGGCTTTCGAGATGCACGGATTATTCCTGTCTTTATAATCTAGGGCAACCTTGCTTCTATATTTCTACCTGTCTACATTATTGGTGTCCTCAAGCCTTTTATCAAATTTTAATAAATGTTTGATGTTGAAGTTATTAATTCCTTAGTTCTAATGAGAAACGTGTAGGAAGTAAATGACATGGAGGTAAACACAACACAAATTTATAGTGCACTCTATCATGTCTCTAATTGTTGATAACAGACTTGTCAACACAATACAATAGCAACTGTTATTATTATCATACAGTTTTAACATATGTTTAAACCCATAATTTATATTTTTAAATCGCCTACATAGAATGTGTGGTTTTTAACTGAGAGCTGTGCATATACAAGTTCTAATGAAGTTGTCGCAATTCTTACTATAACGTATAACCAACACTTTTCTAACATTCGTGTGACAAGGGAGAGTACAGTTGGACTCATTACAAAATAGCAGACACATCACTAGTATTCAATGTTGATCTCTTGCACAGGTTTCACTAGAAGTTATCATCTTTATGCTTGCATTCATAGCTAATCGACATAAAAAAGATGTATGTAAGCATTGTGATTGTCAATTTCTTTTGAATGTTAATGGGAGTAACATGCTTAGGTTGTAATTGACAATAATTGTAAGGCCAGAGCCATGCCATCGCTAATTTATCAAACCTTTTCCAGCAGTGTTCAAGTATTACAGATGCCAAGATACGAGAAGAACGAATACTGTGCCATTCGATTGAGAAATTTAACTTTGTGTGCACTCGCATACTGCCAAGGCAAACAATTTAATTTGCTACGATTTGCTATACATGCAGCTTTAATCATGTTAATTGATTAGCAAAGAAAAGTCTTATCTACTAAAGTATACGTTTCTATCACAATGACTTGGGATCCACTAGAAAACATTGATACTAGCCCTACAAAATTGCATTACTGCGACCTGTATTAACTTGGCGTTTTTTCCAAGCATGCACACACTTCAAATGCTTCCCACCACAAATACATAAAACTCTGAACTTTGCGGCATAATAAATACATCTATCCTCGTTTGCAAAGTTAACCGACAATAAACATAACTTTCTCAAATACATAACCAGAACAGAAACTCACGGGAACATTAAAAACGTTTAAATAAATATCGCAAAATTACAATAAAACAACATTTCTCACCTTTCAGTGAACAATCTGAATACAATGCATCCATATTAACACAGCCAGCAACTCGTATATACAAATATAACTAACACAATTAATAGTAAGGATTTGCTAACTCCTATTTCAGTTATAAATCTACATGTGACGTTTTTGACGCGTGCTGTTCAGTAAACATCTGCCGACTCAAAACGTCAGTACAACGCCATTACCAATAGTTTGAGACAGCGCAACAACTCTACATATATACAGTTATTAAAAAATAATTTCTACTTGGCAGTGAGTAGTGGTGCTCCTACGACCAGGCAGTGCAATCCAAATGGCTGTCAGATTTGTCAAAAATGCTTCTTTGCATTTTTTAATATTTAGTGACGGGACTCGAGACTTATTTGGCCGGTCTAGCCTTGGACAGTATCTAGCCATTGTCAGTTTACATTTGCAGCTAAGAGTCGCTCATCAATCTCTGAAATAGGCAATTCCACTTCACAGCGTATGCGGAAATTGGCGTGTGCATTCGTCACATGGTATGCTTCTACCACACGGGTCGTCATCAAGTTTCACATTAAATTTGCCCACGGCAATGCAACTGTTGAACGACATACAAGTGGTAGATGCCACTAAACTGTCACGTGCCATATAATTAACACATGCAATGTAAACGGTACATGCTGCAGAACTGTTGAGTGACATGTAAACGCTACATGCAGTGCAATTGACATTCCATGTAACTGACATGCCCTGTAGCCGGCATGTCCCTTGCAACTGGCATATGTAACTGGCATGTAACTGGCATATATGCCACGTAACAACCATCTGCAACCCAAGCGACAAAAGTCATGCAACTGTGTGACACTGCTCGACACGGAACCGACTCGCTTCAAAGCACCTCAGCACAAATACAGATGTGCATCATACTTATCTATCTACGGTGGATCGGATGCACCTACAGTCCTACACTGTATGAACACAAGGACAAATGCGCGGCCTACCTACGATGACCAACCCTCTGCAATCTTCTACGTTGGACCTGTGACCGGCAAAGTCACCCTTGCGTCTGCCCGTCGCGACGCAACACTAGTGCTACCCGGAGGAAATACGCCGGACCCACCTGCCTAAACATACTTTATGAGTACGACTGTGCATTAAATTCGTGTGCTCTACTCGTGCGGCGACGGCAGACGACAAGAATGTATTTTTTTTATTTTACTGTTAAAGTAAGTTTTTTTTAAAGAAAATGTTGCAACTTTAGGTCTACACATCATCAGCAATCCATAACAAAAACTTGCTTGAACTTAATCCGCTACGGGCTTTGTTTCATCGCAAATAGGATATAAGAACATCTGATTGTGTATGGGAAAGCTGCAACCAAGCACATTCATTGTCAAAAACCAACACACTCAAACACTCACCTCAGCTGGTACAAAAATTGCCAAATAGAAACGCATTATACATAATACAGAGAGAGTCTGTACGGTAGTTTCACTGCGCCAATATTTTGGACTCCGGGCTCCGGATTTATCGCGCGTGCGAGAAGTAGGGAAATAACACAAACTGATCACCAAAATTTCACCTTTGTTCACTTCATCTGATACAGTAGGAATCATAACGTCATAACAGCAAAAACACAACAATGGCAGGCAACGCAGGATTGGTTGCTACGGCAACCACACTAAATGCAAGCGCTTGGGGGTGCACGGCACTTGTACATGGATGCCATACATAAAACAGATAATAGAGTAAAGTGCAATACGGCCAGTACATGTCGTGGATATATACATGACGCTCCTCATCACCTATGTCTCTGGATGTCAGAGTGCAGCACGTGTGCTTAAAAATGCCGTGTGAAGTTCGAAATGTTTAAAAAATAACGTCCGTTTTGCTGCAATTCGCTATGCTTGAAGCACGAGGAACCTCACACTGGCATCGACTCACTTTGGCAGGGCATTCATTTTTCTGAAAGGAAAAAAACGACCACATGCTATAAAATTATACGTTTATACACTGGGTTGCCCCTAATTTAATACTCATGCCTACTACATGAATGAAACGGCACTTTTACGTTCATGTTCGCTCCGCAATGCATTAGTTGCAGCATTGGTGAAATACTTATACATAGACTGCAACAAGTTGTTGGCAAATTTTAAAGAAAAAATGTATGGAGGTGAATATTGACTGGTAAAGAGAGGACACTGGGAAGGAACAGTAAATACATCGGATGAGTGTAGCATATATGACTGTACTACAGATGCGATTTCATAACTTCACAATAACCCCATCACCAAATATGTAATAGCAAAGTAAGAAACGTTGTTAATCTATAGCCCACCAGATGGCAGAACTACGGATCACCACCCATTGAACCCCAAATAACATTACTTAATAAGAATGCTGAAACAGAATAAAAAAAATTATTATTTCTCTTCCCCAACAGAAAATTTTTAAACAGTTAAACTGCAGAATTAAAGACTTGGGGAGTCTAAACTGGGTTTAATCTAAACTCTGAGGCTAAAACTAAGACAAGGCTTGCTACGCTGGAGTAAAACGTGATGAAGCTACATGGAAAGAAGCATCATTTCGGAAGATTTCCGCCAAGAAGAGAAGTAACTGTGGGTGACCGATTGTGTGTGTGAGAAAAATGCGAGCCTACCATAAGATGGATAGCCGCTCTGGAAAAGAGATGAGAACCTGTTGAGTAAAAATTCAAAAACTACATTACACCTGCATCAGTCTGTGAAAAACGGCGGGAGGTGGGAGCCGTGCTCATGCACGCGTATATATCTTACAGCCGTCTGCTTGGCTGCCTGTTCACTGTGCTGTGAATAGCACATATCAGGGCAGGCACAGCCCTGATCCTGCATGCAACTGCACGAAGGAAGAGGCAGTCAAGTGTCTTTTGCAAATAGGCCAAGACACTCTGCCACCCTTACCGTGGGGCAAAAGAACAACTGCCATCGGATGAGTCGATGGGGAGTAACCATAGAAGCGTTGCCGGTAAGACAGCGCGGTGTGGTACAGCACCCAACATGGCCGCTACGATTTCACCGACCTTGCTCAACTCACCTTAGATATTCTTCGTGTGCTAGTAACTGGCTTTGATACGCTTGCTGCCTTTCTCGATCGAGCTGAACCTGTCTCTGCATTTGTTCGTGCGAGGCCAACTGTCGTGAGAAAAACACTTTAGCTATGAGACGACGATCGTCTTTTATTTTTAGTTTTCGAGTCTTCAACGCTCCAGTTTTGAAACGTTCGAGACTTTCTCTAGATTTGCAATTGACGTTTCTTCTCATTTATCCAGCAACTACAGACGTTTTGCAAAATGACAACGTAAAGACGGGAGAGGCGCAAAATACGACTGCATCGTCTTACATGACTGAGAGGATCGAATGACCGGTCCACTGCAAGCTGTCCAGGGGGCGCCGGCGGGCGACTCACGAGTCCAGGCATTCCGAATGGATTCGCAAACTGCTGCGAGGCACTGCCTGGAGTGGCACCACCTACAAGTAAAAATGCGTGTCAGCGAGCTGTGCATACCTCGCATCATCGCGTCACCAGATTTCGCCTAGTCCCGTAAATATATCCCCCCTGCCCCGCATTAACCTCGTTAACTAGCTGCAGCTGCATTGCCAACGAGCGTGAAGATTCGAAGAAACACGACTGACATATCGGCGACCGACATCGCAAAATGCAGGGAGTTGCCCTCGGTCAGCTTTCTGCTATGGCTCTCACCCCGGAGTTAACTTCAGGGTATTAGCCAGGAATGAGTATTGTGGGAGTACAGAAAAAATATTTGGGAGTGCAATTTTACACATGTACATGGGCTTCAGATCAAAATTTTAGGCCGTGCTAAACATATTTGGCCGTGCAGTTTCAAAACTGACCGTGCAAATCACGGCTGCACGGCTGCACGGCTGCACGGCTCGCTGGCTAATACGTTGGTTCACTTACCGACGAGCGGATGTACAGGGTAGAGCCCCGGGGACGTCTGCATGTGCTGCTCGTGCAGGTGTAGGTGCGTGTGCGCGTGCGCGTGCATGTGCGCCGCGTACAGCGGCAGCCACGACATCCCTGGTGGCAGAATTCCGAACCGGGCCATCGGGTCGGCGGCCATCATGCGCTCGATGTGCAGACGCTCTGCCGAAACCGTGTTCTCGCGCAGCGTTTGCTCCATGCCAGGGGGCGCACCTGTCAAAACGCAAAAAAAACAGGCGGTTTAAATAAGTTTTCAAGTGCTGAACGTTCAGAACGTTTTGGATTGCCGAATTCTGGAAGCCTACGGAGCCACCACGATCATAGCCGACACTACTAATCGTAAATCTTTCATTAGCCGCAATCACGACGGGGCATGATTTGTAAAAAATATCTTTATAACTGTATATTATTCATGTCGGGCTCGTTATCAATTCAAACTAAAACATCAACAATGACGACGGCGACGGCGGGCGGGCGGGCCTAGCAAGGATAACAACTAGATATGACTTTAGTTTGAGTTATAGTTGAGAGTTTTGTTATTGCGGTCGTCGACCCGTCGCGCGAGGGAGACCACACGGACGGCGTCGTCGTCACCACTACTCGCATCAACAACGACGACAAAGGACGGGGCAGGGGTCGTCGACGACGGAGGGCGGGGGCAGGGGTCGTCGACGACGGATCGGCGACGGCAGCGGGCGGCACGGGTCGCGCGACGCCGCGAGCGGCGCGCGGCAGGGGCCGTCTGCGACGAGGCGCGGGGGCGGGGTTGTCAACACGTGGCGAGGCGGCCGCGACCGCACGGACAGCATTGTCGTGTCTCAACCAGGCCGGCCGCCCGGGCGCTGAGTCGCTCCAGGCTCGCTGCCATGGGCGCTGCTCAGCCGACGGATGCCAGACCGCCGCGATGCGCTCGGATTCCGCCGCGCGCCGCTGCGACGCCGACGCCGGTTCGCGGCCGATGGCGAGC